GAGTGATATTTCTGATAGTAAACAAATTATTTCTGGAGTTCCCCAGTGCTCAATTTTGGGGCCTCTGCTTCTCATAATTTATACTGCTGATATTCAGACTATCATTGAATCCCAGTAAGTGTAATACCAGCTGCCAGGACAGTGTGGCAAAGATTCGTCTACAGAAAGTGCAAAATTCTTTCTGTCGGTTTGTTTATGTACTAAGGAAATATGATAATGTATCAGCAAAGTTGAAGGAAACTGTTTGGCTGAATGTGAAAAAAACTGTAAGATTACATTAGCTCAGTTTTGTATATAAATGAATGCTGACTACCACAACATCTCTTAATTTAAGACGTGGGGATAACTTAAGTATACCTCGTCACCATTCAACATTATTTCAAAGTTTTATCTACTAGAATGATTCGATACCTCACAAAATTCAAAATTTTAAATGAAAATCAATATGGATTTACAGAAGGGAAGGCTACATCGGACGCAATAACTAAAATTGTAAATCAAATACATCAAAATATTGATAACAGAATCCCTTCAATCTGCATTTTTGTTGATTTAAAGAAAGCTTTCGACACAGTTAATCACAAATTATTATTAGAAGCATTGGAGAGAATTGGTTTCAGAGGAAACGCGTACTCACTGATCGAAAGTTATTTGTCAAATCGCCCACAATCAGGATCATTTAGTAAAGAAATGTATATTAAGTGTGGTGTCCCACAAGGAACTGTCTGAGGTCCGCTGTTATTCAATATGCATATATTTAAATGATATTTTCCAAATTAATTGTGTTGGCAAAATAACTAGTTAATATTATATGAAGGCACTGACTGGTCTGATCTAAAAAATGTAACTGAAAATGATTTTATCAAAATTATTCGGTGGTTTAACAGTAGAAAATTAAGCATTAACTACTCTAAAACACATTTTTTACCATTTGGATCTTATGCTAGACATCTGCCAAATTACACAAGTTTCTCCTTCAACATTAATGATCAAAAAATGCAAATTAATAGAGTGCCCAACATAAAATACCTTGGAGTGGTCTTGGATCCTCACTTACGATGGGACATCCATGTCAATTATATTTTAAAGAAAGTTAGATTTGTATCCTACAAAATTAAATACCTTGGGAATATATTGACAGAAAAATATCTTCGAACATTATACCATGCACTGATTGAGCCACATCTCACATATGGTATATTAGCATGTGGAGCTGCATGTTCCTCACATATCTATAATTTAGATGTTTTTCAAAACAGTATTCTAAAAATGATATTTAAAAAACCGAAACTTTATCCCACTGAAAAATTATACGCAGATGTTCGAATGTATGATATAAGACAGCTTTATTTCTTACACAGTATCACTCACTACCATAAATTTGTAAACACCGACCAAAAAATTAAACATAATCATTATACCCGGTACAAAATTCGTGGCACAGTAGTTCCTCAACCGCATAAATCTATAATGCAGCGATCATATCTCTATTTAGCGCCTAAATTTTATGAAATTATACCTAAAGACTTAAAAGATTTACGTTTCGGAAATTGTTTCAAAAGAAATTTAAAAGAGTGGCTACATTCTATATCTAGGACTGAAATTCATAAACTCATAAATACGAACATCAACTAAATACATAATCTACTGTAGCTAATTTTTGTCATTTTTTGTCATTTGCATTCTACAGTTTCAACTTAAATTATAGGTCCATGTACAGGCGATGCCTTCTATTGGGCCTGTTTTGATTTTATATTTATTTACTCATATTGTTTGTTATCTTTGTACATTGAGTAAATAAATATTATTATTATTATTATTATATAACGCTGTGAAATTATATAATCAGGTGGATAATGAGGTAAAAAATACACGATATTATTATTCAAAAAGAATATTAGGCATCCGCTACTATCATAGTGATATAGCTAGTTAAATGTAAAAGTAGTCGTTGGCTAATTTTTTCCTAAACCATAATTATTATTATACAGGGTGGCGCATCGAAAACGAAACAGACGAATTTACTGGAAGTTCAGTTTTTTTGGAAAAACGCTCGATTTTGTTTTCGAGGGGGACACAAGTTTGGCAAAAATCACGTTAACACGTGCAGCCCTCTGGGCGGGGATGACACCAACCCTAAAATCTTAAATGGAAAGGGGGGTCGAGTGATACCTTATAGTAAAGGTCTTTCAATTCCTTTTATAATGATGTAAAATACATGAGCTTCAGTTCAGTAGTTTTGAAGATTTATTGATTTAAAGCTTCAAGTAGACTTTAATAGGGGACATCAGATTAGTTTGTACTACTTTCAGAAGAAATTTGACTAAAAGAATTTACTTAATAAGTAAATGCTTTTCTTCACTACCCCCATGGTTTGTTTATCATTGTGTTGTTGAAAATAGCTATTGGAGCGTTTTTTTTTTTGTGGCAAAAAAGTTATTTCTTCAAGAAAGATAAGGAAATATCTCGTACTTATATTAAATAGAAATTTAGTACATAGTTTGCGATTGATTTGACCAAACTTTGTTGTAAAATAACTTGTAACGCTTTATTACATAAATTAACCATGGTACATTCCACAGCAAAAGGAGTTGAAATTATCGAAATATTTTTCGGAAATAATCAGTACGCTAATAGAACACCAGAAATATTTAATGAGCGACAAGAGAACAGTAACGTGCATCGAAATTATGTTCTAGAACTTGTAGCTAAATTTCGGGAAACTGGGTCAGTCGCCAAATAAAAACGCAACATTGAAAATCCCATAAGGAACGAAGCAATAGAAGTGGTTGTTTTAGGGCAAGTTTATGTAGATCCTACGTTAAGTACCCGCAAATTGAAGAATGTGTGTGGTGTTAGTCGACGTACTGTCCAACGGATTCTAAAGGCCCATAGTTTTCATCCGTATAAAATTCACCTGGTACAAAAACTTAATGAAGACGATTTTGATAGGCGATTACAATTTTGTGAAGATATGAGTGAACGAATTATAAACGATGAACATTTTCTATTCAACACTTGCTTTTCCGACGAATGTTCCTTTTTCTTAAATGGCATAGTAAATCGTCATAACTGCCGATATTGGTCCGATTCTAATCCCAGAATTTATCATGAGGTTCATACACAGCACCCACAAAAATTAAATTTTTGGGCTGGTAGTTTTGGCGATCATTTAGATGGTCCTTTTTTCTTACCTGGAAATTTGACCGGTGAAATGTATTTGGAATTACTGGAAGACGCCATAGATCCTGCATTAACAGCCATAATTGAAAATCAGAATGATCGGCGGTACATTGCGAATAGGTTGATGTTCCAACAGGATGGTGCCCCACCACATTACGCTTTACGTGTTCGATAATATTTAGATCAGACGTGTCCAGATCAATGGATTGGTAGAAGAGGTGCCATTGAATGGCCCCCAAGATCGCCAGATTTATCACCCTTGGATTTCTTTATGTGGGGTCATTTAAAAAGCAAAATGTATGCTACTCAGCCAACATCATTAGAAGACCTGCGACAAAGAATTGTGATTGAGTGCCTTCAAATTACTCCTCAAATATTGCAAAATGTGCGGCAACGTTTTGATCAAAATCTTTATTATTGCATGGAGAGTCATGGTGGCCATTTTCAACATTTACTTGCCTAACGGGTCAGTTCATTCTTCATTTTTAAATTACTTTGCTGCCAAATGTATTGATCTCCACTAATGATGATGTATTAGTTTTATTTAAGCTTTAAATCAATAAATCTTCAAAACTACTGAACTGAAGTACATTAATTTTATATCATTATAAAGGGAATTGAAAGACCTTTAAAATAAGGTATCACTCGACCCCCCTTTCCATTTAAGATTTTAGGGTCTGTTTCGTTTTCGATGCGCCACCCTGTATATCTCGCTACGAAGTAAGCATTTAATACAAAGGTACTGGACTGTGGTAAGAATATACGTGAGTTGCACATTATTTCATTCCTACCGGCTTTAGGTAGCTTCTACATCGATCGACATTGCTTCTTTAAAATCTTAGATCAGTCTTCCAGCTCATGATCCATGAGCTTCTATCTTTCGTTAGAGATGGCTTAAGGTATTTGGTTACAGTACAATATGTAAACCTAATCAAAATAGAATTGGAAATATACAGGGTGACTTTGAAGTTTAGTAATTAATTTTCAGATAATGATTGTAGAAGGAAGATAAACCAAAATATGTGTGTAAAAATAAAAAAAATTAAAAAAATATTACCTTGTTTTATAAAGTATCCTCCCGACAAGTATTTCAGTGCGGACCTGTATTTGATCGTGCGGTCTTGGAGCACCGGCATTCCCTTCCCTGTGAGGTCTTAAGTCACCTGATTCACGAGCCCTTTGTACTACATTAACAAAGGCACGAGGGGTTGGTTGCACTCGATTGGGAAACCGATCCGCATAAATCCGTGATGCCGCGTAAATAAGAATCATGTCCACAAGTTCAGCATTTTCGTAAACATGTGTCATTTTTGATTTCGTTTGAGCCACGCAACAGACACCACTATTCACTCACGCGTTACCGACTGACACTGACTGTATACAACTGAATAAAATAATTGTAAAAACATCGTTCCAAATTCTTTCGCTTTTTTGTTTCCGATGCGATGAACCGATAAGGCGGATTATATCCAAACACGAGCACATAATATTATTATTGAGACAGGGCGGTACTCAAACTTCCAAAGGGCTATAACTTTGTTACTTTAATTTTACCAGAAAAATGGTAAAGGAAAAAAACATTTCTTTTGATCAGATCTACTCACTGTTAAAATAAATGACTCAACTTCGAAGTATGTATATATATATATATATATATATATAAATGCTGTGTTAATAATATCACACTTCTTCACCTAGATATGTAATGTACTACTATTCGGTGAGTAGTCAAATCAATGAGTTTGTTACTGGGTATATCAATAAATTTATACTGTTTCCGATATCAGATTTTTTCAACTTTGAAGTAATGATAAGTCATATGAATTGTTACTTCTGTAACAGATTCTGATAGCGAACACGGTGGCAATAATAAAGATAACAGTATATAAATATGACTCTTCTTAAATTTTGTTTGGCAAAACTAGGTGCGCATATGCAACTAAACGTCTAGGGATAAATGTAAGTAGACTTTAGAATTTTGAAATAATAATAAATTTTTGTTCAGCTCAGGATCCCATGAAACGTCAAAAAGACTAAATTGGAGCGATTTTTATTTTTTTCGTTTTTGGCCTTTTTTGCCACTAGACCGAATTTCCAAAACTACAAAGCTTTCTCGTCCTTGGCATCGCAGTATAACTTAGTGTGAAACTTTCATCAAAATCCGACCGGTGTATTCGTATAACTGCAGCCCTAATTTTTCTTGTAGTCGCAGTTGTTACATCGCCGTGGCGTCGTTGACGACTCCTCAGCTGGTCAGGTAAAAAATTCGTCGCGTGAATATTTGCCAAGAGCGAGCAGTGGCTAGTCTTAAGGGCAGATATTCGGGAATATCTATGTGTGAAATATACCTAATAGGCGTAAAGTTACTGGGGTTAGAACTTTACAAATATACTACCGCCAAAATATACAACGCTTTCTCGCCAGTAGGCAACATTTTTTAAGATGCCAATCTTTTTGAACCAATGATTTTATTCACAGTTAATTCTCAATCGGATAAGACTGTTATGATGTACCTCAGGGTAGGTTTCTCAAACAAATAATACATTCGTTTAAATAATAAATTATGCTCCATTTTGAGCAACTACTTTAGGTGAGTAAAAGGATAATATCAATTAAATCGATGATAGCTGATTTGGAGAGAATTTTTCATGAATATCTTTCATATTCTTCCTAAAAAACTTTTTCAAATAATATACATTATTACTAAAGTTATGCTTTTTCTTACAGATACGAGCTTCTGTTGGCATCTGGTTGAGTGAAATCGACAGCCTTCTCATTACTCCATAACCTTCAAGAAGGAATATTGAACTTCTGCTAAAAGTGGTAGATGTTCTGAAGTGATGCGAGATAGTGTTACAGTAGTGATGGTTTTCGAAAGAGAATGTGACGAATCTAAAACATTGCCGGTGCCTTCAGGAAATGTTCGTTCTTGTCTGGATGTTAACTTTGCTTCAGTTTAGCGATGTAGCTGGAGGATACCTAGGTAAGACTTAGCACAGGAAATAAACATAATTTATACTGAATGCTAACTAGAAGTTTTTATGGAGGTTTTCGGGACGGATCAAGGTTGGAGTTTCTTTTAGAATGTAGTTAATAACATATATTCGCTATTTAACAATCTAAAACCTTAAACCTGATGTTGTGTTAATACCACTTGTAAATGAAGGTAAATATGGTGACATAAAATAAAGGTTTGGTAAAATTATTATTCATATCGAGCTCAGTAAGTCTACTTCTTAAGAGGACGTACTTTGAATTTGGTTTTTGTTTTCTCTGGAAGAATTCTGCGTACAATATCCATCAGAGGTTAATTAAGTATGTGCCATAAATTTAACAGACGATTCTTCTTCGTTCTCAAGATACAGTGTGTTAGAATTAAAATAAATGTTTTTTCGTAAATATCTTAAATATCCTTTACCTAATTTTGTTGTAATTTGGCGGTGGTATTTATAACATTAAGGAGCTAATTTAGCCCTAACTGGTCAGTGGCGTTTCGATCGGGATCTGAACGAATATTTCTGACTTTTGTGCAATTTTTAATGCTCATTGGATTAAGCAACTAGGTATGCAACTTTTTTGTCTTTTGAATTTATTTCTTATCTTGCTTAGTCTTGCGAGAAAAACAGGTCCACTGGACCACAAAAGGAATATGGGGAAAAGTTTATTTAGGTTATCATTGCTTGGGTACAGTTGAATGCTTCCAAAACTCAGTAGTGTACATTGACTCACATTAGACTCCATTCTATTATCTACAGCAGTTATCACAATAAAATTGTTCAAATCTAAGAAGTAGCACTGCTTATAACTTCCCACTTTTATTACGCCAGTTAAAGGAATCGACCTTATCGGATAATCTCCAATCCCAGCGTATAACCAGCAATCTATCTCGATATTCCAGAAATAGTGGAAGTGAACGCCTGCAGCCGTTGCAGGATTATGTTGACGTGCAGACAACTGGATGCGATTATAGCGATTCTGGAATCCGATTACCCGTCGAGAGCTGGAGAATTAGGAGCCAAGGAGGAAGAGGTGACCGTATCGGCACCGTTCCCTTTTCAGCACCCCAGGGATAGTCTCAATCATAGGTGAGTCAGTGATTATTGAATTTTTTTGCTTTAGTGATGATTGCTGCTTTTATACATCGCAGCGAAGCTGTATGTTTATTTGAAGTTTCAAATTTAGACAAATAATGGGTGATTTTTTCGCTAGTATCTTTTTGGCAACACTGTTTTTGACAGATGACGCGTGAATCGTGTCTTGTGTCATTGTCAAGCTTGTTCAGTTTGGTCTATAATTTAACCATGAATCGACTTACGAACGAACAACGCTTGCAAATTATTGAATTTCACTATCAAAATTCATGCTCGGTTAAGAGAGTGCATCGAGCACTGCTTCCAATTTATGGGCAATTTGGTCGGCCTACTGAGGGAGCTATTCGGAAGCTTGTGACTAAATTTCGAACCCAGTTTACATTATTGGACATTAAACCACCAACACGCAGACGTAGAGTGAGGACTGAAGTAAATATTGCGGCTGTATCCGCCAGTGTTAGTGATGACCGTGAAATGTCGATTCGCCGCCGTTCGCAGCAATTGAGCCTCTGCTACTCCACTACGTGGAAAATTTTGCGACAGGATTTGGGTGTAAAACCTTATAAGATACAGCTGGTGCAAGAACTGAAGCCACACGACCTCCCACAACGTTTCCAATTTGGTGAATGGGCGCTGGCAAAGTTTGAGGAAGATCCACATTTTTATCGAAAAATTGTGTTCAGCGACGAAGCTCATTTCTGGTTGAATGGGTACGTTAACAAGCGAAATTGCCGCATCTGGAGTGAAGACCAGCCAGAAGCATTGCAAGAGCTACCAATGCATCGCGAAAAAATCACTGTTTGGTGTGGATTATGGGCCGGTGGCATCATCGGGCCGGACTTCTTCAAAGACGACAATGACCGGAACGTAACTGTGAATGGCGAGCGCTACCGTGCGATGATAACAAACTTTTGTTTGCCCAAAATGGAAGAGCCGGACTTGGCTGACATGTGGTTTCAACAAGACGGTGCCACATGCCACACCGCACACGAAACAATGGCCCTATTGAGAGGCGAGTTCGGTGAACAGTTTATCTCACGTTTGGGGCCCGTCAATTGGCCGCCTAGATCGTGTGATTTAACGCCGTTGGACTGTTTTTTGTGGGGCCATGTTAAGGCTAATGTCTACAGGGATAAACCAGCAACGATTGACGCACTGGAAGCCAATATTAAAGCATTTATTCGTGAGATACCGGCCGATATGTTGGAGAGAATGTGCCAAAATTGGACCTTGCGCATTGGCCATCTAAAGCGGAGCCGCGGCCAACATTTACATGAAATAATCTTTAAACATTAAATTATATCGACCGTTTTATCAAATAAAGATTTAATCGTTTTTTCAAATTGTTTGGGTTTTTTTGTAAATCAAATCGTGTACCTCTTAAAAAATCACCTGTTATTTGTATTTGAAAATTTGGAAATTTGGAAAAATATTGGAAACGTCGGAATTTGAGTAAATATATCAAAAATTGAAGCTCTTAATTATAAGTACTTTTTTGTCGTTTTGAGGCTAAAAATTCAGAAAATTAATTATAGTTAAAAAAACTGAAGAACATGTTTTAATAGCAAATCGAACTAAAAAGTAGAAAATAAGAAAATAATTTTCAAAAAACGAATGTTATGGATGCTAATTTTGTTATGTTATAAAAATGACCCGATAGGTTTATTTTTTTTAAATTTTTTATGCTTTGGAAATGAATCGATCCTTGTTTTGAAATATGTGTGTCTGTGTGCATATGTTACCGCTAATATCCAAAATCCGCTAATATGCATAATAATTAGACATAATAGGAATTATGCGTAAATACTAAAACTGTCGGTTAGTATGCAAAATAACGGGGCGTATCAGGAATTATCGATAACTACTAAAATCGTCAGTAATTATGCAAAGTATCGCCATATTTTTAGTAAATATTGATAATAACTGACACAGCAATAGGAATTATGCATAATATCTGCTGTGTATATTAGTGATTATACATGTAACCTCACAAAATACGACTGGTAGTGCCTTGAAGCGTGCGTTGAAGTTTGATGTTATGTTTTGATTGTTTTGTTGTTGGAGTTTCTCATCGCAATGACTGCACTACCTACTAATAACATTAAATTTAAATTTGTCGATGAAGTTAAGAAGTTGAAGGGAAGAACAAACTCACGATTGAACATTTTATTCAAGGAAGAATATGACGTGCTTTTATCCGAGGTAAGAATGATTTTAAACTAATATAGTGCCTATATTTTAACGTTTAATTCCTGATGTTTTTCTCTAGGTTAGGGATGCTTGATCAAATAATGGTCCCAAAACTCCATTACAGTATCGTAGACTTAAAAGATTTGGAATAGTTGAAGTCGGAAATATTGAAAAGCTTGTAACGCGAAATAAAGAGCAAACGGGAAAGGAAAATAATGAAGATTCTAATAATATAGTGATTGACATACGAGATGTTCGCTATGTTGTTCCCGTTGAAGAAATGTTTGATATTTTAACCATTTGTCACAGAAGTATAGGTCACGGAGGAAGAGATCGAATGAAGACCGAAATGTCCAAACAGTATTCGAATATTACACAAGGTTATCAACGATGCAATTGCACAAAATTCTGCCAAAACAATACCTGCCGCGGTAAAAAAATAATCGATTATGCAATAGTAAGTGCCATCAAAGCTCTTCTTGTTCCAATAAATAAATATAAATATAATAATATAAATAATTTTTATGTAGTCGTTTGAAATGTTACGGTTATGTTTTTTTTTTCGTTCTGATTCCTGAATATTCATTTTCATCTATGCATACCATATAGTTTTGTAGAATTACATATATATTAAATGTTATGTAATAGTATACTTACTCGTAATATATTTCTATTTTATCATTAACTACATAGCATTTCAAATTTGACGTTACTTAGTTAATGACGTTACGTGATATTATGCTTAATCACTAACATAAGATATTGGTAGCTTCAGTATGTACGCATAATTTCTAATTTGGACAGTGAATATGCATCATAACTGATTATTTTAGTACTTATTAATAATTCCTGATACGCGCCGTTATTTTGCATACTAACGGACGGTTTTAGTATTTACGCATAATTCCTATTATGTGTAGTTTTTATGCATATTAGCGGATTTTGGATATTAGCGGTAACATATACAGGGTGTTCCATAATTATTGCGACAAAATGATAGGGGTTGTAGAGGGCATCAAAATGAACAATTTTGCCTTATAAACCCCTGTTCGGAAATATGCCGTTTGGGCTGCAGCAACAAAAAAAGATCAGTTTCTTGAAACAGCTTACCTACAGTAATTGCTCAAAGTGTCCTCCACCTTGCTCAGTACACAGCTGTGCACGATTGTTCAATGGTCGGCGAACTCTGTGGCATACCCCCGGTATGTCCTGAATATGTGCGGACGCGGCCATCACTCTTCCCAGTAGCTCTTGTTGGTTGGGAACAGGAGTTTCGTACACTAAAGCTTTCAGATGGCTCCAGAGAAAATGATTCAGTGGAGTCAGGTCGGGTGACCGAGCAGGCCAAGGCACAGGGCCACCTCGGCTTATCCACCTATTTGGAAATTTGTCGTTCAAATACTGCCGCACTTGTAAAGAAAAGTGGGCTGGAGCGCCATCGTGTTGAAACCACATGTTGACTCTTATGTTCAGTTGCACATTTTCTAATAGTTTCGGTAGCACATGCTGTAAGAATCGACCATAAGCATGCCCATCCAAACGTGGTGGAAACAAATATGGCCCGATGATATGCTCGTCCACAATACCGCACCAGATCTTAATTGAAAACTGATGTTGGTCTCTAAGGATGGCTATGGCATGAGGGTTTTCTTCATCCCAAATGTGACTGTTACGGCTATTAAAATAACCGTCCTTTGTAAAACAGGACTCGTCAGTGAACAAAACGTAGCGACCAAAGTTTGGTTGCCTCAACTCCTGTTGCAGCCACCAACGACAAAAACGTCGACGCGGCAGATAGTCTTCTGGACCCATGGCTTGGACTTTTAAAAGGTGGTATGGGTGTAGTTGCTGGTCATGGAGAACCCGCCAAACAGTAGTTTGAGACGCTCCCATATCATGTGCAATAGCACGCACGCTTGTACGCGGATTGGCCTCTACATGATGCAGAATCGCTTCCTCAAATTCTACTGTGCGCCTCGTGAAGGGCCGCCCTGCTCCCGCCAGGTGTCTGATGCTGCCACTGACACGAAGACGTCCATGAATCCTTGCAAAAATGGCGTGATGTGGATGAGGACGTTCTGGAAACCGTTGGGCGGAGATTCGCAAGGCTCCGTTACCACCAGCTTCTCCGTAAATTAAATGCATATCCGCAAGTTCCGCATACGAATAACGCTGCATTTTAACACTAAGGTACTGTTATTTACTATCTAGTTTGACGCACCACTCAGATAATTTAAATGAATCGGTGTGGAGAATTTACGATAACAAAAATGTGAACACAGTAGGCTTTTTTTACAAACCGGCGAGACCATGAAATGTGCTAGATGAACATTTTGCAGCTGGTGGATTTTTTGTTTCTCCTATGAGCTCTTAAGGTAAAATTAGCGGTAGTGCTCAAACGGCATATTTACGAACAGGGGTTTATAAGGCAAAATTGCATATTTTTATGCCCTCTACAACCCCTATCATTTTGTCGCAATAATTATGGAACACCCTGTATATGTTAGGTCTCTTGAAGAATAAAACCTAGACTGCTAAAATGGTACTTAAATGTTTCCAAAAATTATTCTCAAATTTTCAGTTCTTTTTATGAACAGCTAAATCACAGCTTGTTTTATAAATGTATTTTTTTATTTATCTTTTACTTTTTAGTATGACGTCAAATAAGTAATTTGGTAATTTCTATATAACTTTCATACATTTTATCAATAGGACTCCACTAAACTTCTTACGTTATTACCATAGCAGTGACCACGTAAATTATAAATCAACAGTCAGCGGCGGTCTCCATATTGGATCTAGAATGAC